CTTCGTGCGCCCCGCAGTGGGGCCCCTCGGGGATCAGCTCCACGCGGGCGATGCGCTTGGGGTGGATCACGTCGAACATGGTCTGCAAGCACTGGCAGCGCAGCTCGCTGGCCAGGGGCGCCCCTGGGAGAGAGAGAAAGACTCAGATCTCTGCAGGGGGCGTCTGGGGACACCCCTCCCCCGCCACCACTCGGATCCCATGCATCCCCCGGGCCTCCCGCATAGGGCCGGCTCTCAGACACCTGGGTCCCATCCATCCTCCCAAGCCGAGTGGGAGCGAGACTCCCCCCACGATTTCTAGGCAAACCCCTGCGCAGCGAGCCCCTTACCCCGGCACAGTGCGGCGAAGGCGGCCAGCAGCAGCAGCGGCAGCAGGAGGCTGCGGGGGACGAAGCTCCGGGGGAGGCTCATGGTGCGGGCTAGCGCTCTGGAATTTGGGCTCGGAGGTAAAGCTCAGCGCACTCGGGATCGGCACCCCGTAGCCCGAGGGGAATTCCTGGGAACCCCATCCCGTGATGCCGGGCTCACTCACTGGGGGAGGGAAGTCAGGTAGTCCGGCCCGAGGGTGACATGGGCCGCAGCTGGGTCAGGTACCGCTTTGCTCACCGCGTCAGGCGGTGTGTGTGTGCGCGCCACCCTGCCCTCGGGCTGGCCCGCTTGTTCCGTCCTGGGGAACAAAGCACTACGGGCATGTTACAGGTACATTTACAAGCAGGTGTGAAGCCCAGGCCCCAAACTGGATCGTTAACGCCTGCTCATTAATCATCCATATGTCTGACTATGAATAATCCCTTCCTACAAAGCCATACAAATGGCCAGCCAGCAGGGCCCTGCTTAGGACTTATGGGGCCCTATCCGGTACTACTGAACTGGTGTCCCCATGCCCCAGGGCAACCTAGGGGTATTTTTTACAGCTGTGATTTTGTAGTCTTCAGCAACACCCTAAAGACATATTTGTAAAACAAATTTTAAACTAAGGTCCTGTAGCCTAACACAGTAAATTCAGAACCTGACAGTCTATACCTGAGGCTGGCAAATGCCTGGTAAGTGACTTCCTTACCACCAACATGGCTCTTTCACAGGTTCTGCTACTAGCTCTGGCAGGGGTTTTCACTCTTAAATGAACTAGATCCTCTCCAGAGGAAGCAGAGCAACAGAACAGGGATAGGAAGAGAAAGGTGGGTGGATATTAAGACCCAATGGGGCCCCACATTTTCTGGTGCCCTCCATGCTGCATATTCTGTGTATGGGTAAGGATGGCCCTGCAATCTAGCAGCATTAAGCTATCAGCTAATTATTTCAGTTTACCATCACCATTAGATTACGTTCATAAATAGGATTGTCATGAAAGCAAAAGAGTATCCAGTTTATCAGCAGTCATGTATATCACTGATTGAAAGGAAATGAACTCAATAAGGTTTTATACTGGTCGAACAAACATAAAAATATTAAACATTAAGGATCCTGAAATGCGGCATGTTTAAACTGGCATCTTGCAAAGTGACATAAATTCCGTTATTTCTCGAACAACAATGTGCAAAGGAAATCACATTCGATGAAGAGAACAGAATGAACATAAAGCCTTTCCTACCATAGTTGTTCAAATACTTTTTTTTATTGAATCAAGCATCGAGAACAATTCACTGCCTTGTACTTGGCAGTGTGTGCAACCAAATACAGTCTCAGCTCAATGAAACGATTCCAGAGGGTATTACTCTGATCTTTGTCATGCAAACTCTTGATGACTCCAGTAGCACTCTCATCCTGCGTGTCACAATGTCTTAGCAATGTTGAAAATTGGCACATTGGGGCCAAAAGTTCAGGTTCTGTATCTTTCAGCTGAGCCTAGAGCACCTCCTCAAAGCATATTTCAATCTCCTCTTCACTTCATATTTGGTCAAGAGATACAAAGAACACAAATTTTGTGGCTAGTTCAGCATTACATTGACTGACTTGTTTTCATTCCAAACTTAGCTTGTGAGGTCAAATAACATAAAACCACTCAACCTCCAATTTCCTTCTTCCTCAAAGGAAGCCACTCGTGCCTTTGGGAAGGTTTTGCTTTTCAGTATGTTTGTATGCTTTAGCTAGGACTCACTCTTAGGATGACAGTAAGTAACTGTCTCCGGCCAGACTGTCAAAAGCCGGCCAAACACCCCCAACTGGTGGTTTATTCTGTAATTAGATTTTACCAATCAGTGACAAATGTGAACTCCCAAAATATTACAGCATAAGAACATAAGAATGGCCATACTGGGTCAGACCAAAGGTCCATCCATCCCAATATCCTGTCTACCAACAGTGGCCAATGCCAGGTGTCCCAGAGGGAGTGAACTGAACAGGTACTGATCAAGCGATCTCTCTTCTGACATCCATTTCTACCCTCTAACAAACAGAGGCTAGGGACACCATTCCTTACCCATTCTGGCTAATAGCCATTAATGGACTTTACCTCCATGAATTTGTCTAGTTCTCTTTTAAACCCTGTTATAGTCCTAGCCTTCACAACCTCCTCAGGCAAGAAGTTCCACAGATTGACTATGCGCTGTGTGAAGAAGAAATTTCTTTCGTTTTAAACCTGCTGCCCATTAATTTCATTTGGTGGCCCTTAGTTCTTATATTATGGGAACAAGTAAATAACTTTTCCTTATTCACTTTCTCCACACCATTCATGATTTTATAGACCTCTATCATAGCCTCCCCTTAGTCTCCTCTTTTCCAAGCTGAAAAGTCACAGTCTATTTAATCTCTTCTCATATGGGACCCATTCCAAACCCTTAATCATTTTAGTTGCCCTTCTCTGAACATTTTCCAATGCCAATATATCTTTTTTGAGATGAGGAGACCATATCTGATGCAGTATTCAAGATGTGGGTGTACCAAGGATTTATATAATGGCAATAAGATATTCTCCCTCTTATTCTCTATCCCTTTTTTAATGATCCCTAACATCATGTTTGCTTTTTTGACTGCCGCTGCACACTGCGTGGATGTCTTCAGAGAACTATCTTCAATGACTCCAAGATCTCTTTCCTGATTAGTTGTAGCTAAATTAGCTCCCCTCATATTGTATGTATAGTTGGGGTTATTTTTTCCAATATCTTATACAAAAAAGTCACAGAAGTCCCCTTAGGCCATGTCTGTACTTATCACGCTGGAAACCAATCTTCTGGTATTCGATTTAGTGGATCTAGTAAGGACCCACTAAATTGAATGCTGAGAGTGCCCCTGGTGAGTGCTGGTACTCCTCAATTTGCAAGGAGTAAGAGAAGCTGATGGGAGCATTGACCTCTGGCTGTGGAGATGGCACCATGCTTGGCTTAAGGTACATTGACTTCAGCTACATTATTTATGTAGCTAGAGTTGCATACCTAAAGCCAGCCTTCTGGGTCTACTGTGAACCTAGTCTTAGACACTGAGGCAAGCTGGACTATGTGATAAATGGTCACTTACATGAAAAATCACAAAATATCCAGATTACACCCAGTCCTAAGAAAGCAATCAATTCTCCAGGGCAAGTCACATCCTAGATCTCACACCAAAAACAATGCTGGTAGTCAACTCTGTAACAAGCTAAGTATAGGTTGATTAGCTAAGAAAAAGGAAAGAGAATTACTGAGTGGTTAAAGCAGATAAAAATAGATGTGTAAGTAAGTCAATCTGTAATTTCAAAACATGGCAGAGAGATAATTTGCCAGTTTCCCAAAAGTCTTTTAGGGCTATCACAAGTAACTCTAGGGATCTCTATCTTCTCATTCTGTCATTCTGCCCTATTAAAATCCAAACAGTCCAGAGATAAAGATTTTTTTCCCGTGTGTCCATATTTTTAGCTTCTCACAGAAACTAAACTGATAGAAACAGTCCTCACACAGATCCTTTATTCCTGGAAGAGGAGTGGAGGGAAGGAATGCACTTTACAAAGTCTTTGGTCACTAAACAAAGCTTCTTTCTCATTTGACAAGTTATTTCATTACAGGGATATATTCAATGAAGATGTTTGCTACTACGTTTTAGCAGGATGCAGATAATTAAAAACTATTAATGCAATATCCCATCAGTTTTTCATGATGCTGAAGCACTAAATACATTTTTATACTCTTTATCATCTACTTTGAATTATAGCGTGCTGGTCTGGCTATCTGCTGTCAGTTTTTAGCTGATTCCTGTGGCCTTGGGACAGAGTTTCACCTGCATTAGGTCATCAACATAATATTTCAGAAATTTGGTTCCTCCTCAAAATCATCCAATGGAGACTGTGACAAATTCTTGCATGGAAGTCAGCATATTAACAGCAATAATAAGACTCAGATTTGGCTTTTAAAGCTTTACACTAGTTTTGTCAAACATTTTTAGTATCACATTCTATAAGTTACTCTTGAGTGCAATTTCTGGGGAGCACAAACTTTTGTACAATGCTCATGCTTCCTGTTGAGTTTCACTGTTTCCATCAGCATTGTCTTTTGTTTCTTTCAAACAATGTTGAATGTTCCTCCTGGTTCACTACAATTGTTTTACATGATTCAGCACGGTGTGACCATCCTATAGCTCAAGGTTTCTAGGACAAGAAGAGTTCCTTGTTTGGTCTTGCTAAGATTTTTGCACTAACACTTCCATCACCTGGGTGATTCTGCAAGAAAACCATATAGTCACTGAACAAAACTGAAAAAGTTTATGGCATCCATGTAAGAATCAATGCTTTACCTTCCAGCTAAGCTCAGAGATGAGCTGTGCATGGCACACATGGAGGTAGTGGGTTTAGTTGTTTGATCTGAGCTTCAAGATTTTCCAAACATGTTACTTGCGTTATCGAATGACTGACCTCTGCAGTTTTCCATACCAGTGTTCTGCATTGCATAAAGCAGGGGTGGGGAATTTTTTGGGGTTGGGGGCCGCTGATCCTCAAAAAAATCAGTCAGGGCCCACACTCCAGAACTTAGGGGGGCCCAGGCTAGTGGATTTTGTGAGACCCACCAGGCTAACAAAAATGAGGGGTTTAGTGTGTGGGAGAGGGCTGCCAAGAAGTGAGCTGGCAGTGAGGGGTCTAAGCCAGATGGGGATGCAGGAGCAAAGTGGGGGTGCAGGGTCTGGGCAGGAGGTAGGGTGCAGAAGCAGGCTGTGGGTTGAGGGTCTGGTAAGGAGGTAGGGTGCAGGAGTAGGCTGGGGGTTGGAGCGGGCTGGGTGATGCTGGTGTGGAGTACCCAATGGTGTGGAACTCTGAGCCTTGGGGGGCCAGATATAGGCAAGCTGGGAGCCTGATTCAACCCCTGGGCCTCAGATTCCCCACCTCTGCCATGAAGACTTCATGGTGGAAGTGCCACCTGCCTGTATAAACTTTCAATTGGTAGAAACCCAATGAGACACTCATGGATGGCACCAAGTAAGCAGCATAGTCAAATGACAGCAAACTGATCAACAAACTGATATCAGAAGTTAAGCCAACTA